AAAGAAATTCAAAGAAGTTATAAGTTCATCTAAAAAAAAAATAACAAATAAATCTTAAGGAAATACAAAAATAAACCTATAAAGAAGTAATAATAATCTTTAAAAAATATTAGAAATAGAAACTTTTAAAGAAATAACAAAGAATCTTTAAAAATACTAAAAATAAAAACCATAAATAAATCCTAAATAAATCCTAATAAAACTTTAATTTAATCCTAATTAAAATTCTAATGAATTTTAATCAAACCTTAGGTCAAATTCTAATTAATATCTTAATAAACGTTAATCAAATTCTAGGTCAAATTGTAATGAAGTCCTAATTATAATCCTAATTGAAACCCTAATGAACCTTAATCAAATCCTAGATCTTAAACCAACTCCAATCAATTCTTAACTGTGAGCTAAAATAAACTTCTTTTTAATTGGAAGTTTATTCTAGTTCACAATAAGTGAATTACTATTTAGTTCTTAGAAATTTTAGCTCTTATTTAAATGCCAATGACATCACTCTTAACCTCCTTAAAGCACCTATGTGTAAGGTAGAAATAACCTCTACTAATTGGAATTATTCCTAGCTTACAACAATTGAATTAACTATACAATTTTGCCAAATTGTAAATCTTATTTAATCCAATTTAATTTGCCCAAAAAAAACTCCTTAATTTATCCAAGTAATCAAATATTTCCTTTTACCAACTTTCACATACAAAAATAAGTCAATCCAAAATGTTGTATAATTTAAAAATTATCATCACTATTATTATAATAATACTTTTTAAATTTTATTTATTATTATTTTATTTTATGGTATTTTTATTTCTTGTTTTAATTTCAAATTAAAAATCATCCATTAATAATAATTCATCCTTGAATGACTATTCATCCAAGTATAAAATTCAGCCAATAATTTTCTTTCAATCTAATTTTTTTCATTCATTTCACTCACTTGTAACCGCGATGAATGTAACTTATTTGCTCGATATCCACACCAAAAAAAAAACATACTGAGTGGTCGGAGTTGAAGGAGCCTTGACCTGTCGGAACAATAATCTACCTCACCGAACACTCCAAGCAATGCTCACTGAATGCACAATGATGTGAACAACTATAACTCTGAAGTGATCATAGAGAGTTCTAGAAGGTCAAGCTCGTCGTGGACATAAAATGAATGCAACGTTGAACAACGCCGCACACCACACTGCACCGCAGCTTCGTCGTCGCCCTTCGACCAACCCCAGCACCTCCGATTGAAAGAAATCATAAAAGAGGTAGAGCTGGAATTTTTTTTTTCCACTTTTTTTTCCACAATGCTATGTCAACAGTTACCTTCCACCAACATCACCGCACTCTTCCTCCTCACCAAAGAGAAAAAAACACAAAAACCAACACCTCGCCTTTGCTCATTGAACAACACCAGCCTGGACTAGGTGTGATAGTAGTTGCGCTGGAAGAATTGGAATTGCTGTTGACGTAGTGGCGGCTCAAGTTGTTCAACCTTCGGAACCAGGCGAGAACGACGAGGCCAGCAATTAATTGCTAGCGATACGGAATTGTGAACAATCCTCAATGCCGCTGGACCAACACGCACAAGAAGACAAGAAGTGCCACTAGAGAGCACCGAACGGAACAGAATCATGCGACACCGTCGCATACTTGGTGATTCTATCGCAGCGCGACCAACACCATCCAACACTCAACATAAATACCGTATCGCCGCCCTTTAACTATAGATGAACTGAAGAAGAACGGAGACCAGATCTCGTCGACAACAAGAGTTTATGCATGCTCTCCAAAAACAAAACTCAGCACCGCCGCACACCACAGAAGAGGAGAATAAGCACACCAGCCTAGTTTGCCGCATATCCAGCTGAGACCGCCGCTGCGACAGATTCTTGTGCTCTGCTTCGCTCGGGTAACCACAAGATCAATGATCCCAATCTTTTTGCTGCATCTTAGCAAGGAAGAGGACGTAGCCAACACCGACTGTAGGAAGGGGGAAAAAGAAAAAACAAAAAAAAAACAATGACCAACTGCTGAAGCCGTCTGCTCTAGCTGCAGCTCGCAAGAAAAAAATAAATGAGAACACGTTGTTGATGCAGACTTTGCCACCACCAACTTCGTTGTGTTGCAGCTCGAGTCGCCGGTTCCAGACGACACCGTCACCTTCAGAATTGATCACGAGCCGGTGGCATAAACAGTGCGCCAACAGCGTCGCCTCGACGCCTCCTTCGAGCCACTGGCAACGTCGACGACGACAGAAGAAAAAAAAAATGACACCGCAGCACCACCGCACATACAATGCACACCGAAGAAGGAAAGAAAAACACGCTCAGGAAAAATCCGGAGCGATTGGAGCTTAACCAAAAATCAAAAAAATGATGAGAGGGATCTCCGTTGTCGACGGAGAGACTATTGTCACTCAAGAGCAGCCTCCCGCCTTCTCAATCATCCTTTTTTTTATTTTTTATTTTTCTTTTCTTTTGTCCTTCTTTTCTTCTTCTGTCCTACTTTCTTTCTCTTCTCTTCTTCTTTTCTTCTTTCTCCTTCTTCCTTCTTCTCTACTCTCTTTTTCTTCTTATTACACTTTTGATCTCTTTATTTTTTATTATATATATATTTTTAAAGAACTATTAATAAAATAAAATGTATTTTTTCCTTTTGATTTCAAGGGATATTTCCCTTGGGCCATCATCTAAAAAAACCTATTCATCATAGAAATTTGTCTTAATAAATTCTATCCTAGGTTGCATATCTACTATTAGCAATCTATTATCTACTTCTTTCCTAAAATTTCTACTACTACCTCACAAAATCTATGATTTTAAGCTTAATAAATACCCTTTTGATACTAAATACCTAAATGAGTCAATTTAGTGACTCATATTAATCAAATTCTAAATCTTAAACAAATTGTTAACAAACTCTACAATAGATTAAAAATTCAATAAGTAACAATTGAACTGTTGATTTTGACTCAAAATTTTTAAACCTTGCAACACCTCAATTAGCAATAAGCATAAAAAATTTGAAGAAAATTGTACATACTAAATAGTTGATAATTCCAAAACTCTAGTTAAAGAATAGTGGCTTCCTTCTCCAACCTTGGTGTTGATATTTCCGAGCCATAATCTCTTAATTTCATTGTTCAATTTGTTCCAAACTTTGCATAATTGTTAGAAATTAACCCATCTATCTTTGAGCAAAATTTCATTTCAATCCAATAGGCAGATTGACAAATATCTTAGAAATCCTCACTAGTTCTCTAAACCCCAATTTCCGAGACTATAATCTACAAAAACCCTCATGTGCTTCAATCTAACTGCTCCATTTATCTAAAACTTCTCATACACATTTACAAGAAGAACAACAACAACAAACTGCCCAAATTTTACCTATAAACTCACTATAAAATTTACAAAATCCTAAAATTATTAAATTTATTTTTATTTCTCGAACTCTAAACCCATTGAGTACATGACTAACTTTGAAAATCTTCCAAAATCTCAATATTAATTCGAATGACACAAAACCAAAACTTAAAAATCTCTCTTCAAGTCTATTTTCAAATCTTGCTCTCTGATTTGCAAAATAACCTTGAAGTTGCTGTAGGTGCATGGTTTTGTGTCTCAAGGTCTGATTTTGACCCAAGTTGACAACTAGTCCTCTCTAGGTATCAATTTTTAGTAATTTGAGGTAAGTTTTGCTTTAACCTATTGCTAATTCTCTCTTGAACATGCCCATATCAATTTCTTATCTTATTTACTTTGATTTGGCTCATTTATGCCTTTATAAAGTAAATAGAAGTCCATTCTACAAAAAGTAACATTAAGACTAAATTTTTTATTATCTTTCTATAATTTATCATTGCTTTTCTACTACATCTTTCTATTAGGCTATTCTACAATAACATCCATATTTTTATTTTTCACCATATGGTCGTGTTACAACATGATAGTGCATGGATGACGGTTGTTAGAACTGTGGATCTACCCGATATTATTGATGAAATTGTCCAACACATAAAATGCAGAGAATATTGTATATGTATATACCAAAAAAATTATCTTAATTGAACAAATTATTTAATTTCATTACAATACACTGTAATTCTTGTGAATTATTTCTATTAAAATTTAGGATAAAAATACATGTTTTATAAAATTAAAATAAAACACATACAAGTCTCATACAGTTCTGTTTTGTAAAATCTAACAGCCTGTGAAAGAATTTTCAAGTGCCTTGTTTCTAAAAAAAACTCAACACTGTTTGCATAAATAATTGCACCACTTCTGTGATAAGTTTCAAACACTATTGTTGTCCTTTGTTTAGATAATTAGTAACAAGCTATAATAGATCAATCATGTGAATAACATATCTTCAAATGTAACTTACATGTATTTAAACACAATGCATGACATTTAGAAGGTTTTTGTTTTCTTGATTAAAACTTTCAATTTTTGGTGATACATGTTCTCTTCATTAAAACACGGAATCAATCAATCCAATTAAAAATTAATTAGTTGAACTGAACGTTCACACTGATCATCAGCAGTTCTTTCCACCTGTGCCCAATTGTAACTTTGATCAATTAGCTTCTGGATATTCATAACGCTGAAGAATTAAAACATTATTTATAACAGGATTAGGAGAAGTTTCATGCCTTAATCGGAACGTTTTTAAAGTCTGTTGAAAGCAAAGGAATCAAATCAACACAATAATTGGGTGTTTTGAAATCAATGCGACAACATTTCGTGGTGACAGTTATTACTACAATATCAAACATTTCTCACAAACGAGAAATCACATATTCTTTAATATATTTTTAGTAGTTCTTGCTACTATGAAGACTACGAAATCCTTTGTACAGTAAACTCACCATCAGCCACAAGAAAATAGTGATACAAAGCTCTTCACCTACCTGAGTTGCAGACCAAAACGTCGTATTTTGATACATTAAGATGATTCTTTGGCACACACTGAACTCATGAAAGCGGCAAAGGGGGAAAAAACAAAGTAGATCCAGATTATTATACAAGGATGATTTGAACAACACAAGAGAATGAATTAATCAATATTCCAAAGCAATGAAGAGCTGGCTTTTCTCCCTGTGCCTAGTTCTATCAATACCGTGTTCAACTGCGGCTTTGGCTGATTTGGGCAAAAAGATGAATACGGGAACTTCAGGAAAAAAAAACGGTATTCCATGTCTATGTGGTGGATGTTAATACGAAGGCGGTACGAGAGCGCCATGAGAGCAGATCTACTTCATTTGTTGTCCGTAGCCTCCGCGCAGCAGACTTTCAGAATTGTATAACCAAAGGCCAGAGCAAGAAGCTTGCTGGTTGTTAACCACCTGCCAATGATATGTTGATATCTGCTCTTCGATTGTCCCCCAAAAGAGAGATGTGGGATGCAATGCCCCAGCCTTCAGAAGGTCGAAACACGCCGACAGCCTGTGGTCTTGCATCAGAGGATTGCCCGCTCGCAGGTGACGCCTGGTTGCCTTCTTGAGGTCCAGCACCTGTACCGTTGAGGTTCAGCGATAGAAATACTACATAAAGAACATAAATATACTGGATCAGATCACACATTATTCTTACGAAAAACAACATCCCCGTAGCCCTGGAGCCACGAATCACAGATCAACAATCACGTCATACGACTATTGAACCCGTAACGAATGGTCCAGAGAGCCTAACGTCAACGTCAAACTTGTAGAAAAGTATTTCAACTCACACTAGCCTATAATTCTACTTGCCAAAACTCCTTGCCATTTTTGCAACATCCACGCACCAAGGGATTTCCAGATATGGGTCACGTTTCTATTTCAGAATCTGATATCCATTTGGTGAACATGTCTAATGGTTCATGTGGCTACTGTTTTGCATATCCCAGCGATGGTAAACGTAGATTTAGTGAACTCAAGTCAACAGCACCCAGAGCTTGCTCCCTGATGAATGCTCTTACTCTTTCCGTCTCTAATTTATATTATTGTTCTCATGCATCGACTGTAATTAAAGTGATATGATGCCTCTCATACATTAAATGACGTCAAAGGATCACCCTGAGGATGGACAATGACATTCATCTCTCCTGTCATAAAGCATATTTGCAAGACTTCAGAAGGTTGTGAATGTACCTGAACTTTTACGTGATGAAATTTGTTGAGTGGCAAAAGGCGTCTTCATGCCAGATAATTCTCCTTGAGTCAAACGGAGGGGTGAATCAACTTTAGAATCCGTCTTCAACAGACCTAAGAGGAAACTTCCAACAACCACCTGCAGAAAACCAAGCGCAATTAAATCTACAACACAAAACCTCAGTTGCACATGGACTCCAATAGAGTGACAATTGTGTTGAGACATTGCACGCACTACCGTAAAACAATACAACAGCGATTAAGATGTATGAAGCATACAACCTGTATAGGAGAAGCCGCCGTAAGCATTCCAGCAACCCTTCCACCAAAAACTCGTCCGTCACTGCCTGCCAAGGACACACTTACAATCCCTGTTCGTTGTTTTGCACCATCTTCACCGCTTAGAGGAAGATATGAACCTGACAAGGAAAGAATCTCGTACCGACCCTGATAAAAGAAGCAGTCAGCATCTTGGAGTGAAGCACAAATTAATCCAAAACCTACGCTGTTACTTGACCTTCATAAAGCCTGAAATGAAGAACGTTTTTTTTTAATGTACTCCCGTTAAGAACCTCACGACATGAAGATTAACCAGCTATTAAAAACCCATGTTTTCACACAAAGTAAATGTTTCATGAGGATAAATAAAGAAATGAATGTGAGCAGTATCACTTATTGTAATATTCTTCTCATAAGATTAATCGATTGCTCCCTCCCACTACCTCATACGTGACAGTGCCTTCTGATGACGAATCCTGGCGCAGCATGACATTTGAAACAGCACCATTGGCAGACAACACACACATAGCGCGGGGACCGTGTTGTGCAAATTGCATGATCTTTGATGAGGCATCCTGTATCCAACACAAGAAATCAGATTGGGCCTTGAATCAAATACATATGAATCGATGCCAGCCAATGATGAACATTTTCAATGCATAACTAACTATCACGTCTTTTTGGAAAAACTTGGCAAAAAGGAAAAGGCTATATGTGTATCGAAAAATATCAGACCTCTCCGGTATGTACAGTCAGTATATGAGGCGTGAAGCTCTTTCCTGTACCTGCTAACACAACTCCTAAGAAGGAAAACCGATACCACGAGGTTGGAAATTGCAAGACCGAAAAAAATTGTGTACTTATTTTTAAAAAGCAAAGAACTGAATCGAACACAAAGAAGTGATTATGGTTGCAGTGTACGAAGATCAATCCTTCTCAGCAGGAAACAACTTGCAAAGACTTTCAATGACCTCCAAGAATTAGTACTTAAAATGTTGCACAAAGTGAAAATGTTTCAACGCGAATACGAACCTGAATAAATTTCATGTCTAGTAAAACAAAAAAAGTAGGAAACATTCAAGTATCTTACTGAGGCATAATTCAAACATACGGCGGCTTCTCACCCAAATTGGCTAATTGTTGCTTTCTGGTAGAGCCAACTGGACGACCTCTTCCCCGCTTTTCCGACTTATCTGGAGGTGTATAAGGAGCTGCAATCTGCTTGGCAAGAGCTGAGAAAAGAGAAGTATTCCCAAAACCTGATACAGTTACTTGAGGTGAATCACCCGTCGTATACTTACGAGGCCTTCCCCTCTTTCTCTTCATGGGCATTTGATACCCTTGATAAGGTGCTCCACCGATGTTCAACTCCATTCTTGAAGTCATTGGCGCCATTAAATTGGGCATTGATGAGCCGCTTTCTAATGGAGGGTTGCCAGTCCCTGAAACCGGCATTGGGGTATGCGGACGTAAGGCTAACGGCGTGTGTAAACCTTGGCCAGGTCCAATACTATCCATGCCTCCACTCTTAATAACACTCTTTTCTCCTAACTCGTGCAAGAGGTTCTCAAATGTAACCTGTGTATCCACTGTAACAAATAGATGATTAGAATTCTTTTAAATCTCTGTCTAAAAATAGAAATTAAAAAATCAGCTAAGAATTGGCACTCAAGTCCTCACTTAAAATTACGCAAGCGAAGGGTTTTCAGACCACAGTTAGCATCATCTACACTTTGAGAATCAGCCAAATCCTTTGCTTGACTTAGCACGATAACAATATAACACATTGTACACACGCATCAAGTGAAATTCTGATCAACTGCTCAAATGAATTACATGCAGCTGCTTCGAATCTCAAGCCACTGGACCATGAGCCATCTGAATATATGAAGCGCCCCATAACTGCAGTTAAACTACAAATGATGACTGGACCACTGAAGTTTACACGTTAGTCGCTCTCTGACTCTCCTACAGTGGCTGGATAAGAATCATCTATCTTACTTGATGTGTGTCCGATACGTCCACTCCTCAATGCTTGCTCCTCATTGACCCCGCTCTCCCCCTTCTTCTTCAACTGCCTTCACTTGCTACCTTTTGGTGCGCATAGTGAGTACTGATGTCCCAAAACGCGTTGTAACTGTATGCTGGCAATATTTACTTTTCGCGAGGACATAATCGCCTCTGCGCTTGCTCTTCTGTAAGACTCCCTCAACACTGGATTTTCCCGCTTAAATATGAGCCATTGACGCTAAGCAGGCTATTACAGATGCATAAGAATTTCTCTCCGTGAAAGCATCGTCTTCAATTTCCAAATCCTGATAATCATAAACAGAACAAAGTCAAAGAGCAGAAAGACAGTAAAAATGCTCCTAAGATCGCCGTTCCTCTATAGTATTTTCTGGCCTCCGAAGTCTGACTATTTGAAGTACAGTTACCAAAATTTCACTTAGGTAGAGAAGAATAGGTTTCTATCACACAGCTAAAAGCTAACTGGCGCAGATTTGGATTTTGGCTACATGCGCTTCACAGCTGAGAGAATCCACCACGGCACAAGCTTACACCACTCAACACAAACAGTAAGAAAGCAACCCCAATCCTTCAGCTTCTCTTAACTAGCAGTCAGAATCACGATAGACCATGAAGCCTTCACGGATTGCCAAGTACGTTCCGCACAATGGCATGAAAACTAGTTTACAGCTGCACTAAAGCATCTGACATAATCAGACCGAAACCAACTCAATCACAGTAAAACAAGGCACACTTGATCTCCACAAACAAAGCCAAATCATCAACATGAAAACAAAATTCCCACCGCTACTCGCCACATCACACGAAATAACCCTCAAAAAGAAAATCAAGACAACCACAACAAAACTTCACGAGACCAAAACATCCGAAAAAAAACTCCATCCCCAACTCTGACCCAAAAGCACATAGAAGCTCCACCGAATTAGAGCCCATGCATCAACAGCGAGTTGTCCTTCCTAACGGTGGCATGAACACGCAGCGACCAAGAGCTGAGAAAAACCACGACTCTGCTCCACAAACAAGTACACACGCACGCACACACACACGCACACCTCGTACCAAACCTAGTAAAGCGATCGCATTCGACACACCATCCTTGAGCATCCACCCCCTCGTCGCACTGGTCAACACCAAATCGAATTCCGACAATGCTCTTCCTACGCCACGCGACTGCAGGCGCTGTTCAGCACCGAAGAAAATCCATGAGGTTGCTCAGCTCCGGGGTCGTCAACCTCCATCGCGGTGGCAACCTAGAGCTTGGCAGCAGCAACAGCAGCAGCGAGGGTGTCCAAAAAGGCACTTGAAAGCTGACAGCACTTCAGTAGACCCTCCCCTACCTGACACTCTCTGCGACGATCATTACCCGTAGTAGTAGCAGCAGCGGTAGTGCTGGTAGAAGTAGTAGTAGTAGTAGCAGTAGCAGTAGTAGTGGAGGTCGTAGTAGTAGTATTAGCAGCACCAGCAGCAGCCGTACTAGACGTAGTACCAGCTTCACCACCACCACCACCACATCCCACCACCCGTTACTCTCTCTCCCCCCCACTCCCCCTGCTGCAACCAATTCCGCAACTTCAGCTCTTATTCTTGCTCTTTCGACCTCACTCCGCACAGAAAGCAAGCAAGCTTCGTCAAGGCTGCCTGGCTTTGATTCCTTCCTCCTTTGCTCTGACTCTGGCTCTGGCTCCAGCTAACCCTCTCTCTTGCTCTTCCTCGTCCTCGGGCGAAGGATCCGGCGATGCTTGTGCGCTAATCCCCTCCCCTGGTTTCCCCTTTCCTTATTATTATTGCTTCTTCGTCTTCTTCTTCTTCATCGCATTCCCGGTGCTCTCCGCTCCTCTCTTCTCCTCCGCATTCATGTGCTTGCCGCAGCCGCGCCGATTCTTCCTCGTCCTTTCCCATTGGTCTTGTCTCCTCTGGGCTGTTCCCGCCCAGCCCAGCCCAGCCTGCGGGGAGGAATGATGGCATGGCAGGGCCTGGGCTGGGCTGGGCTCGCACCCACACTGGGTCTCACTCTCTGTAGGGAGGCGACGGGGGTAGACTTCCTGGCGCTATTGCTGACGTGGTTTCGCCTCCTTTCCTCCAGTTTGGGAAATTCCTTGCCATGTCATCATCGGGGATTGTCATGTCCTAGCTGGCACCGACCCTGCACTGCCCCCTGGCTTTGCACGCGAAGGAAGTCCTCGTGGACGGTCTTAGGGTCTTAGGGTCTCTGCCCCACTGCCGTGTTTGCTCCTCTGGTTTAAGCATCATTCAAAGCACAATATCAAAAGGATTTTATGCAACGATCAGTGCAACGATCAGTTGATGCTTTGATGTCAAATCTATAGCCTACAATTGATGTGTATGATAGTAAAAGCATGGCATACTAATGAATGAATGAATGAATGTATATATATATATATATATATATGTATGAAAGAATTAGTTTATTTTCTTATTTAAAATGTGCAGCAAGGCTTTTGATTCTTACTGGATGTAATATATTTCAGTAATATTCCAGTAATCTATTTCATTCATTTCATAAATAAAGCAATAAATAAATATTATTACAATGTAAACACATATTTGAGCATGTATGCATAACTTAACACAATGGTGGGTATGATATCATATGTGTGTGTATATATGTACACACCCACCCATATTTGAGCATGTATGCATAGAATATAAACACATACAATATTTTATTGGAGCAATTAGTAAATTTATTTATTTATTTATTTATAGTTAAATTTTTATCTTAGAAGAAAGACTTTTACATTTTGAATTTTTCATGATTTGAAAAAAAATAAAAATCCCATGATTCAGAACAGTATTAAATGCATTAAAATATGTGAATATATATATATATATATATATATATTAAAGAATCTATTAAACACTTCAATTAAAATTTTAGTTGAAAACCTTGTGTTATAACTGAGAATTTAGAACTATTATTTTAAAATAATTATGATAGTATTTGAATTATTTATTAAATACATTTTTTGGTTGTGCTGTTGTTACACCAATCTAAACAGATATTTTAAGTTTAACGTTATCTTTATTTTTTTTCTAAATTTTTATTTGGATGTTTTCATAATAAGAATAAAGAATCAACACTTAAATATTTTATTTTCATGAGGGGACTATAAGAATGTGTAAATTATTTTTAGTATTATCAATGTACTTCAGTATATGTAAAATAATGAAAGTGGAATGATTTCTACAATAGTAACGCATTCATTGTGAAACATCAAGTTACATGCATAGTTCAATTTGTGTACAAAACTCAAATAATTTGAATAGGCAAGTACCATCTTTGGAAAGCAGGCTCTGCATATTTGGATGGCATATGGTATTTCACATATCCTTTGCCTTTGGTCAATGGATATTTTGGCTAGAATGATTTTTCTAAATGGATCTAAACTTAGTGTTACCATAACTTAACACAATGGTGGGTATGATTTAGTCAATCCTATTTTATGATATATTCACTAAAGTACAACTTTTTTAGGTTGTAATATTTAGTTGTTATATTAAAAAAGTAAAAAATGGCACTGGTGTCTGTTTTTGTTTTGTTGTTTGGTTTCTTTAGAAAAACATTTTAAAGTTTTAGTAATTATTTTTTCATCATAAACCACCTTTTTTTTTTCTTTCTTTTTTTCTTTTTTTTGGTTTCAAAAAAAAAATTAGGGACAGAGTTACAATTAAGGACAGAGTTGATACCTACATATATGATATATTTACAGTTATATTATAAATGATAAGTAAAAAAAAAAAAAAAATCTTTGAAATGAATTCATTTTATTTTATTTAAGAAAAAATCAATCTTAAAGCAAAACATTTCAGGTTTATTATTTTAGATGTGATTGATTGTGGACAATTGAGGGTTTGTTAACCACTTGTACAACAGCACACACAATTTTGTTCAAAATAATGCCTGTCAACTAAATGAAGAGACATCACATAGCAATCCATCTGCCCAAATGTTTCTTTACTTATTGCACACTAGTGAGAGCTAAAATTGGTTGAAAGTTTCTTTATGAAGGTGTTTAAACATACAAATAAAAATAAAATAAACATTATAGTTAGGTCCTCTTTAGCCCAATTAGTGAGAGGAGTATCAGGGTTGCAAGTAGGTTTTTATCTTTAAAAACCTTCAATCCCATGCAATGGGTCCCTCTGTGTGTCAACAGAAGCAAAAAGAAAAAACAGAAAAAAAGAAAGGAAAAAAGAACTCTGTCCACAGCTTCACATTCCATGTCTTGGGCAATTCTCTTTTCTATTGTTTGCTACTTTCTAATAATATCAACACACTGTCAACCTTTCAGTAGACATTCTCAAGGTTTTGCTGAATCAAACAAAACTTTGGAATAAACATACTATACCAAACAACAATAACAACAACAATTGTTGTAAAATCGTATCAAAGTGGGTACACGAAGATGCTTACGACAGATGCAACATTCCTCATGCTTTACCCTCCACAGACGCATGGAGACATTTAAGAGTCCAGCTCAACATGAAAATCACCCTATCCTAGGATTCTATGAGATTTGCACATCCTGTACTGTGCACACTCTGAAGAAATCTTGATCTGCCCAGTGATTTCCAGAAAAACAATCAGATTCCAGGCATCAGACAATCTTCACTAACTTAGTGGTTAGCAAGTGCTACAAATCCTCAGCTGCAACCAGCAATTACCAATATCTACGTTGTGTTTTCACATTTTGATACAAGGGAGGTGGATCCAGAAACTCTGACGTTGAAAGAGGATTGGTCATGGTGTTCTCGTGATGGCATGAGCTTCTAGCTTGTGCAGTGGCTGGAAAGAGAACCTTCTACACATGGAGATCAACTCTTACATTAGAGTGCATAAGAGATATAGTGGTAAAATTTAGAGAGTAACTTTGTTCCACATAAATCTGGCGAAAAACTTCTGCTGTTTCAGCTGGTGCCGTATCAGCTAGTGCAGAGCAAAGACTGACATCAGCTGGTCTGGAACACAAAAGCTTGTCACAGTTGCAAACCGAAAGGAGAGCTGGATTCACTCTCTGATGAGTCACCGTTTATGGAACACGCTTTTCAAGAGTTTTTAACAGCAGACCAGTCAGTAATTCATTAGATAGGTTTCCTGCACCAATGCTCTTGCGATTGCAGAGGATAAGCAGAATTTGCGTGCTGCTGAATCGTCGAAAATTGAAGGTTCAAAATTGATTGAACATTTCTCACTTCAGCACTAACACTAAACGACTTCACAATGTTGCCAACTCGCTCGGCTGCGAGTAGGAAGTCATTATTTATTCAGGTACTTGGAAGAGGTTGGACTCTGTATCTACTTATTCTGTATGAAGGTGTCGGAAATTGCAGACCTAAAGTGAGCTAGCGGAGAGAGTGTCAGTTAGTCCTTTACGTTTTACTCTTGTGTATTTCGTCAAGGTTATTGCTCGAGGAAAAAGACCATGAGAAATGGGCAGTGATGCAGGAATCTTACATTACTGACCTCAGCATCCCACAATGCTTGATTGGTAGTCACTGGGACAAACTAGATTTTCGTGTTACGCATGTAGCTGAACCAGTATCACGAGGATCGTTCAGTACATGCTACGTTATGGAACCATATGAAAGAAGCCAGAGGTTGTGAGCTTGCTTATCATATTTCAAGAACCCAATAACATTCTAAGCATCGTTTAGGCTGATGCTTGAAGGGATTGTGTTTAATGGTTTTCAAGGTCAAGGCAGCGATACGAGCTCGTGCTGAAGAAGAATCAACTTACAGTTTACATGAAAATGCTATCATCTGAAAGCAAAGAAAACTGAAGATGAATCGACATGCACTTTGCAGACTTGGAGAAGGATAAAGAAGCCCCGAGAATGTTTCATTAAGATCCACACCGGCTCTTCTTGAGTTGCTGACTGCTACACATATGATACCGGGGCAGATGTTATCATTCATGCCTGAGGCCCAGCTTTTGAAGCTGAAAAGCATGCAATGTCAAAACTGACATGCTCAACACTAGAGACAGAAGTAGCCGAAACAGGTTCTTTTTACTGATGCACAACCTCGAAGCTGTTGCAAGGAAGCACTGAAGCGGAGAACTAATCTAAACTGACCAAAAAAAAACGAAACCATTACAGTCGAAAAATTGACACACAACTTCCACAACTGTTCTATACTTGGTGTCATGGTAGCGTCAGATTTACCTTTATGTCACCGCAAGCTCTTGAAACTGGTGATCTGCAAAACCAGCACTCAAGGTTGTCAGAAACTGAATACCTTTTTCTTCTTTTACATCCTCGGAGCAGTGAACAATATGGTTGTATTTTAGGGTATTGTCATTGTCAAGTAAACGTTGAAGATGTAATTGTTGTTCTGCAATCCTACAGTAAATATCAACCTCTCTCTGTCAGGTGAAATGACCAACCTCGAACAACTAAAATTGCGATTCAAAAACATTCCACAGAATATGGCACGAATTTCGAGCTCCACCGAAACTTGAGACTACCC